GCTTGCAGAATCGGGCGAAGGCGACTGATGTGAACTGCCCCCAATTATCGCTCACCACAGTTTCGGGACAGCCAAATCTGCTGAATAGTGGCCGAAGCGTTTGAGAATCACTTCCGGCCATCTGTTGTATGTGTCAAGGGCGATAAGGTTGTTCTGGCCATTGATCGATCCGGCATAATCGATGTGGACCCTAGACCATAGGGCTCGTGGAACAGGCCAGGCCTTGAGTGTTGCCTTCATTGACGCCTACGATGCGAAAGCGCATTTGGTGCATGAGCGGACCAGCTGTTCCAGTTGTTTGTTCATGTGAGGCCAGTACAAATAATTGCGAGCGAGAGCCTTCATCCGGTTGATGCCCGGATGTCCAGTGTGAAACTGTCTCAAGACCCTTGCTTGTAGTTTCTGTGGCACCGCGACACGTTCGTAGTACAGGATGCAGCCGTTGACGATCGACAGAGAATTTCGTCTTTGGTAGAACCGCTGCAATCCTCCAAAAACGTTTGTGGACCACCGAGTACGATTATATTTAATGACTTGTCTCAACAGTTGATCCTGTTGTTTTGCATTCCGGGCTTCTTCAAACATGACATAGAATGCACGAATGAAATCCATAAACAGACTGTGAATCTCTGACTCACCAGGGATGGACATTATGTCTGTATCCTTAGGTGCCTTAGTCCGTGAGTTGAGTAAGCGCGAGAGTGCGTCTGCCTGACCTACCTATGTTGTAGGCTGGTACCGGATGTCGAAGTTGTAGCCCAGCAGCATACGTGCTCAGCGCTGAAAGTGATTTGCAGAGCACACATAAGTGCTTTTTTCGAGCCGAAAATAGCAAGAAGATGCTTGTGGTCCGTGAGAAGGGTGAAATGACTCCCATAAAGCACCTTGTGAAACTTCTTCATGGCATAGATTATCCCCAGGACTTTCTTCTCGATTTGTACATAATTGCGTTCAGCAGACGTTAGTGATCCTGCCGCATGACAAATTGTCTTTTCTGTGTTGTCGGTAAAATGTGTGAAATCACGGCGCCAATTACATAGTTGGAGGCATCGACAATCTTCAGATCAGGGCTGAAGTATGTGAGCAGCAAGTCAAAGCTCAACATTGTTTTTACTCCTTCAAACGCTTGTTGACACTCTCGCGACCAGGACCACTTGACGTCTTTCTTGAGTAGTTTATTCATCGCATGACGAAGATGGCGCATTTCCGGAAGAAACAAACTGTAGTGACTCGTGAGACCCAAGAAGGCGCGCAAGATATTGATGGCCTTTGGTGGTGGCATCCGTTTGATGGTGTCGATGTTGTCTGGATCTGGGCAACGACCATTTTTCGTCGATTATGGACCCGCGATATTTCACAGAATACATAAAATAGTGCACTTCTCCAGACGAGGATGTAAACCATAGTAATGAATCCGGCTCAGTATGGTCTCCAACAGTTCATCTGGATTTAAACCAGTGACGATGGTATCATCCAGATAGACCACGGCTCCATCGGTATCCGTCAGTATGCTGTCTATGATTTGCTGGAAGATGGCGGGAGCAGTCTTAACCCGAATGGCATACGGGTGAATTGCAACAGACCACGATGGATGCTAATGGTAAGAAGCTCCCTGGATTCTTAATCCACCTCGATTTAGAGGCATACATAGCATAGCTCCAGGTTAGCGAAACAAGTACTGTCATTCATCTTTGCAAAAATATCTTCCAGCATGGGCAAGAGATACTGATGCGTGTCCAGAGCAGCATGGAGAAATCAGCACCGATTCGGACGTTATCTGTGACTTCCTTCACAGCCACAAGTGGTGCTGCTCATACGGAGCAGCAGCAGGCTGAAGAATACTATCTCGCTTAGAGCGCTCAAGTTCTTGGTCGAAAACGGTAAGTGCAACATAAGGGACTGTTTTTTCGGTTTGGAGACAGGTTTTGCGTTTGGTTGAAGTCGGAGAGTAACCTTCATCTTTTTGCAGCAACCAAGACTGTCTTGAAAACTGAGGCAAATTTCTCCTTTATAGTCGATATCAGCTTTGTAGTCAGCTGATTAAGTTTTGCGAGACTCGGTCAAGTTGACTGCACACCATTCCAAATGCGGTTAAGTGGCAATTCCAGAAGACCAACTTTCTCAATCCAGTCAAGGCCTATTAAGTTAAGGTTCGGACGGTTGGTGAGGTAGCACGTTCCTTTGAATTGAATGCCATCAAAAGAAATGTCC